CTAAAACGTGGGGTTTTGGTAGTAAAATAATTAAAAATAGGGACATAAAATATTTTTTAAATGTATTTTATAAAAATTAATTCTTTTTTTTTATAAAAATAGCACAAAACACAAAATTCCGAATCTTATATACCCACCTTCAAACTATATTTGTGTCGAATTTAATCGCTGTATTTTTAATTCAGTCATGAGCTTTAAAGTTATTTCCCGAAGTTCATCGCTATACTCGTATTTTTAAACGAGTAATGAGCGTTGAAGTAATTTTCTTAAGGGGGCCTGATATGGAGGGTAAGGTCAATTATGGACCGATTCCCATAAAATTTGTTAGAGATTTAGGTTAGTATAGAACATGTTTGTATCGAATTTCATCGGCGTACTCGTATTGTTAAGCGAGTATTGAGCGTTAAAGTCATTATCTGAAGGACGGACGGACATAGCTACATCGAACTAAAATTTAATAAGAACCCAGAATGTGTTACAGTTTTGGGTATAAAAGCACCGCTTAAAACAACGGTATAGTTTTTTGCTACAACTTAGGTTATTTGTTATTTTTGATGTCATTTTATCTTCATTTAAATAATAATATTTTTATTAGTTCGTTAAACAGAGTACAAAAAACCAGTTTTGTTCGTTATTTAAGGTAGTCAATAGGAAAAATTAGCTTGTTCGTTAAATGCGATGTTCATAGAATTGAATGGTCGTTAAATCGGAAAACTACTGTAATTATAAATCGAGCTACAGCTTTTATTTGTTTGTCTAACGTGATAGATATGACATGTTTTCAGGCATAATAAAAATAAGCTGTAAAAAATGGCAAAAAAAAAAGTTTTAAAGCCAGGAAAGCGAAAATGGAAACACCATGAAATTATGCAATAAACAACTGAACTAGAAATGAACTATAACTGAACTAGAATTGAACTAGAATTGAAATAGAACTGAAATAGAACTGAACTAGGACTGAACTATAACTGAACTAGAACTGAAATAGAACCGAAATAGAACTGAACTATAACAGAACTAGAACTGAAGTAGAACTGAACTAGAACATAACTAAAACAGAACTAGAACAGAACTAGAACAGAACTAGAACAGAACTAGAACAAACTAGAACAGAACTAGAACAGAACTAGAACTGAACTAGAACTGAACTAGAACATAACTAAAACAGAACTAGAACAGAACTAGAACAGAACTAGAACAGAACTAGAACAGAACTAGAACAGAACTAGAACAAAACTAGAACAGAACTAGAACAGAACTAGAACTGAACTAGAACTGAACTAGAACAGAATAGACAGAACTAGAACAGAACTAGAACAGAACTAGAACAGAACTAGAACAGAACTAGAACAGAACTAGAACAGAACTAGAACAGAACTAGAACAGAACTAGAACAGAACTAGAACAGAACTAGAACAGAACTAGACAGAACTAGAACAGAACTAGAACAGAACTAGAACAGAACTAGAAAAGAACTAGAACTAGAACAGAACTAGAACAGAACTAGAACAGAACTAGAACAGAACTAGAACAGAACTAGAACAGAACTAGAACAGAACTAGAACAGAACTAGAACAGAACTAGAACAGAACTAGAACAGAACTAGAACAGAACTAGAACAGAACTAGAACAGAACTAGAACAGAACTAGAACAGAACTAGAACGAACTAGAACAGAACTAGAACAGAACTAGAACAGAACTAGAACAGAACTAGAACAGACTAGAACAGAACTAGAACAGAACTAGAACAGAACTAGAACAGAACTAGAACAGAACTAGAACAGAACGAACAGACTAGAACAGAACTAGAACAGAACTAGAACAGAACTAAACAGACTAAACGTATAACAGACTAAAGAACAGAACTAGAAACAGAACTAGAACAGAACTAGAACAAACAGAACTAGAACAGAACTAGAACAGAACTAGAACAGAACTAGAAAACTAGAAGAACTAGAACAGAACTAGAACAGAACTAGAACAGAACTAGAACAGAACTAGAACAGAACTAGAACAGAACTAGAACAGAACTAGAACAGAACTAGAACAGCTAGAACAGAACTAGAACAGAACTAGAACAGAACTAGAGAACTAGAACAGAACTAGAACAGAACTAGAACAGAACTAAAACAGAACTAGAACAGAACTAGAACAGAACTAGAACAGAACTAAACAGAACTAGAACAGAACTAGAACAGAACTAGAACAGAACTAGAACAGAACTAGAACAGAACTAGAACAGAACTAGAACAAACTAGAACAGAACTAGAACAGAACTAGAAAGAACTAGAACAGAACTAGAACAGAACTAGAACAGAACTAGAACAGAACTAGAACAGAACTAGAACAGAACTAGAACAGAACTAGAACAGAACTAGAACAGAACTAGAACAGAACTAGAACAGAACTAGAACAGAACTAGAACAGAACTAGCAGAACTAGAACAGAACTAGAACAGAACAGAACTAGAACAGAACTAGAACAGAAAGAACAGAACTAGAACAGAACTAGAACACTAGAACAGAACTAGAACAGAACTAGAACAGAACTAGAACAGAACTAGAACAGAACTAGAACAGAACTAGAACAGAACTAGAACAGAACTAGAACAGAACTAGAACGAACTAGAACAGAACTAGAACAGAACTAGAACAAACTAGAACAGAACTAGAACAGAACTAGAACAGAACTAGAACAGAACTAGAACAGAACTAGAACAGAACTAGAACAGAACTAGAACAGAACTAGAACAGAACTAGAACAGAACTAGAACAGAACTAGAACAGAACTAGAACAGAACTAGAACAGAACTAGAACAGAACTAGAACAGAACTAGAACAGACTAGAACAGAACTAGAACAGAACTAGAACAGAACTAGAACAGAACTAGAACAGAACTAGAAAGACAGAACAGAACTAGAACAGAACTAGAACAGAACTAGAACAGAACTAGAACAGTACTAGAAAACTAGAACAGAACTAGAACAGAACTAGAACAGAACTAGAACAGAACTAGAACAGAACTAGAACAGAACTAGAACAGAACTAGAACAGAACTAGAACAGAACTAGAACAGAACTAGAACAGAACTAGAACAGAACTAGAACAGAACTAGAACAGAACTAGAACAGAACTAGAACAGAACTAGAACAGAACTAGAACAGAACTAACAGAACTAGAACAGAACTAGAACAGAAACTAGAACAGAACTAGAACAGAACTAGAACAGAACTAGAACAGAACTAGAACAGAACTAGAACAGACTAGAACAGAACTAGAACAGAACTAGAACAGAACTAGAACAGAACTAGAACAGAACTAGAACAGAACTAGAAAGAACTAGAACAGAACTAGAACAGAACTAGAACAGAACTAGAACAGAACTAGAACAGAACTAGAACAGAACTAGAACAGAACTAGAACAGAACTAGAACAGAACTAGAACAGAACTAGAACAGAACTAGAACAGAACTAGAACAGAACTAGAACAGAACTAGAACAGAACTAGAACAGAACTAGAACAGAACTAGAACAGAACTAGAACAGAACTAGAACAGAACTAGAACAGAACTAGAACACAACTGGAACACAACTAGAACTAGAACTGAAGTAGAACTGAAATAGAACTGAAATAGAACTGAACTAGAATTAAACTAGAACTTAACTACTACTGAGAACAGTTTTGAGCAATACAGGGCGTATGATTATTATTTAATTTATTGAAAGTTGAATATCACCCATACGCCAACATACATACATATAATTGAACTAGAGCGGAACTTGTCTATAGTCAACAGTTTATCTATTGTCTAGGCTATAGTTTGTTTATAGTCTAGAGTATAGTCTAGTCTAAAACCTTGTGTATAGTTTAGTCTGTAAGTTAGTATACTTTTGTCAATAGTCCATATAGAGTTAGTTGTCAGTTCATGGCTATTCCATACCGCATTGCAATCCACTGTATGTTTACATTTGCATTAACTTTTTAGTGAATTAACATTTATAAGCTGATTAAATAATTAAAATAATTACCATTTGCTTACCAAAGGTAAACTTTGCATAAAGTTTATGGCAATTTAAAAGTTGTAATTTTTATATATGCTTGCCAACGTTTATTATGTTGAAATATCAATTTAATAAATTTTTCCTGGAAAATCTGCAAAACATATTATTAAAAATGTTAAATCTTTTTTGCTTTTTTGTAGAGTTAGTAATGTATTTGCAGTGCAGGAGGGAAGTTTGAGCAAAAAATCTGCAGAAATGTTAAAAGTTGTAATGTTTTGAAACTTTATTTTCTATAGATTCATGTTGTTTTTAGTTTATGTTGGGTTTCCATTAGAATTAATACTGAAATATAGACATATGTTTAAAAACCTTAGAAATTTAATTGGCATTTTAGATGTAGAGCAATATGCTTTAGACAGCAACATATATTTAAACTGAAGCAACAGAAATGTGAATGTATAAAGTTTTAATAGAAATTATAATAGAAAACTGACACAGAGTATAAAGTAGTCAATGAAAATTTATAAAAAAGAAAAACTAAAATAAAATGGTCCTTCCGACACCATTTATTTACCCACTGTAACTATACAGCTCCCTAAAGTCGGCAATATAAAATGAAGTATTTCTGTACAACTGTTTTATCTACCAGTTTATCACAAACACAAACCTTTCTTGACACTGCTTTATCACTAGCACTTTATGAAATAAATTTCTTTTTCGTCTTTTGTTTTTAAGATTAAAATTTAATATTTAATATTTAATATTTATTAGTATAATTTAAAGTTTTTTTGTTTGAAATTTCTTCTTTTTTTGAATGGAAAATTAACTTAAATTCTAAAAATTATTTAAATAATAAAATTATTTTGTTTAGAATATTTTTGATAATTTTTAAGCTAAATTTAAATAAAATAAATGTTTAAAAAAATACTAAGGAAATTATGTATTAGGAAAAAAATTACTATAAAATAAAACTAAACGCAAATAAAAACAAACAACAAATAAAAATTAAAAATAAAAAATTAAAAATATTAAGCAAATTATTAATATTATTTAAAAGTATATAGTAATAATAATAAAATTAATAAAACTAAAAGAAAAATAATAAATTACTAAATTTCAGTCTTTAAAGTGCTTAGCAATTGTTTGTTTTTGTTTTAAACTTATTAATATATATAAATATAGGTTTTAATATTTTTGCTTTAAATTATAAAAATATATATTTTTTTAAATAAAAAAAAAAATACCAAAAAAAAAATATAAAAATATTTTTATTTCCTGTGGCTCCTGCAAAGGCCTCTTTATGTTCGTCTTTAACTATTTGTTCTGGTTCTGCTGCTCTAAAATATTTTCACCCTGGGCCTCCTCCTGTTGTTCCTTCTCCCCAAATTCGTTTCACTTGTTCTTCTTTTCGGTGACAGTGAGGCTGGCGATGATCCAGTAAGGGGTTTAATGAAGTGGAAGATGCTGTTGATGAGTCGGTTATGGTATTTATTTCCATTTCCAATTCGGTAAATATATCTATGAGATTATTGATGCCTATCAACCATCTTCATGATTGCCCACCTTCCAGGTACTGGCATGATCAATGTAGTGGTTTTCTGGCAATAGAACTGTTTTGGCAAAATCTATCAACCAGACATTGGCCTGCTTGCGATCGTGTACAAAGAGCAGAGAAGAGCCGATAACTTCGTGACTGCGAAAGAAGTCTGAACATTCGAGGGTGGCACGTATAGCACGTAACGTTGGATGTAACGGGCCTATAAATATATGGAAAACAGATAATTCATTAAGTTTTAGTTCAGTTCTAGTTCTGTTTTAGATATGTTCCAGTTCTGTTCTAGTTCTGTTTAGTTCTGTTTTAGTTCTGTTCAAGTTCTGTTCTAGTTCTGTTCTAGTTCTGTTCTAGTTCTAGTTCTGTTCTAGTTCTGTTCTAGTTCTGTTCTAGTTCTGTTCTAGTTCTAGTTCTGTTCTAGTTCTGTTCTAGTTCTGTTCTAGTTCTGTTCTAGTTCTGTTCTAGTTCTGTTCTAGTTCTGTTCTAGTTCTGTTCTAGTTCTGTTCTAGTTCTGTTCTAGTTCTGTTCTAGTTCTGTTCTAGTTCTGTTCTAGTTCTGTTCTAGTTCTGTTCTAGTTCTGTTCTAGTTCTGTTCTAGTTCTGTTCTAGTTCTGTTCTAGTTCTGTTCTAGTTCTGTTCTAGTTCTGTTCTAGTTCTGTTCTAGTTCTGTTCTAGTTCTGTTCTAGTTCTGTTCTAGTTCTGTTCTAGTTCTGTTCTAGTTTGTTCTAGTTCTGTTCTAGTTCTGTTCTAGTTCTGTTCTAGTTCTGTTCTAGTTCTGTTCTAGTTCTGTTCTAGTTCTGTTCTAGTTCTGTTCTAGTTCTGTTCTAGTTCTGTTCTAGTTCTGTTCTAGTTCTGTTCTAGTTCTGTTCTAGTTCTGTTCTAGTTCTGTTCTAGTTCTGTTCTGTTCTAGTTCTGTTCTAGTTCTGTTCTAGTTCTGTTCTTTCTGTTCTAGTTCTGTTTGTTCTAGTTCTTTCTAGTTCTGTTCTAGTTCTGTTCTAGTTCTGTTCTAGTTCTGTTCTAGTTCTGTTCTAGTTCTGTTCTAGTTCTGTTCTAGTTCTGTTCTAGTTCTGTTCTAGTTCTGTTCTAGTTTGTTCTAGTTCTGTTCTAGTTCTGTTCTAGTTCTGTTCCAGTTCTGTTCTAGTTCTGTTCTGTTCTGTTCTGTTCTAGTTCTGTTCTAGTTCTGTTCTAGTTCTGTTCTAGTTCTGTTCTAGTTTTGTTCTAGTTCTGTTCTAGTTCTGTTCTAGTTCTGTTCTAGTTCTGTTCTAGTTCTGTTCTAGTTCTGTTCTAGTTCTGTTCCAGTTCTGTTCTAGTTCTGTTCTAGTTCTGTTCCAATTCTGTTCTAGTTCTAGTTCTGTTCTAGTTCTGTTCTAGTTCTGTTCTAGTTCTGTTCTAGTTCTGTTCTAGTTCTGTTCTAGTTCTGTTCTAGTTCTGTTCTAGTTCTGTTCTAGTTCTGTTCTAGTTCTGTTCTAGTTCTGTTCTAGTTCTGTTCTAGTTCTGTTCTAGTTCTGTTCTAGTTCTGTTCTAGTTCTGTTCTAGTTCTGTTCTGTTCTAGTTCTGTTCTAGTTCTGTTCTAGTTCTGTTCTAGTTCTGTTCTGTTTAGTTCTGTTCTAGTTCTGTTCTAGTTCTGTTCTAGTTCTGTTCTAGTTCTGTTCTAGTTCTGTTCTAGTTCTGTTCTAGTTCTGTTCTAGTTCTGTTCTAGTTCAGTTCTAGTTCTGTTCTAGTTCTGTTCTAGTTCTGTTCAGTTCTGTTCTAGTTCTGTTCTAGTTCTGTTCTAGTTTTTTCTAGTTCTGTTCTAGTTCTGTTCTAGTTCTGTTCTAGTTCTGTTCTAGTTCTGTTCTAGTTCTGTTCTAGATCTGTTCTAGTTCTGTTCTAGTTCTGTTCTAGTTCTGTTCCAGTTCTGTTCTAGTTCTGTTCTAGTTCTGTTCCAATTCTGTTCTAGTTCTGTTCTAGTTCTGTTCTAGTTCTATTCTAGTTCTGTTCTAGTTCTGTTCTAGTTCTGTTCTAGTTCTGTTCTAGTTCTGTTCTAGTTCTGTTCTAGTTCTGTTCTAGTTCTGTTCTAGTTCTGTTCTAGTTCTGTTCTAGTTCTGTTCAGTTCTGTTCTAGTTCTGTTCTAGTTCTGTTTCTAGTTCTAGTTCTAGTTCTGTTCTAGTTCTGTTCTAGTTCTGTTCTAGTTCTGTTCTAGTTGTTCTAGTGTTCTAGTTCTGTTCTAGTTCTGTTCTAGTTCTGTTCTAGTTCTGTTCTAGTTCTGTTCTAGTTCTGTTAGTTCTGTTCTAGTTCTGTTCTAGTTCTGTTCTAGTTCTGTTCTAGTTCTGTTTCTAGTTCTGTTCTAGTTCTGTTCTAGTTCTTTCTAGTTCTGTTCTAGTTCTGTTTAGTTCTTTTCTAGTTCTGTTCTAGTTCTGTTCTAGTTGTTCTAGTTGTCTAGTGTTCTAGTTATTCTAGTTCTGTTCTAGTTCTGTTCTAGTTCTGTTCTAGTTCTGTTCTAGTGTTCTAGTTGTCGAGTTCTGTTATAGTTCTGTTATAGTTCTGTTCTAGTTCTGTTATAGTCTGTTATAGTTCTGTTATAGTTCTGTTCTAGGTCTGCTCTAGCTCTATTCTTTTTCTGTTCTATTCTCTGGTCTAAAGTTTATTTCATTTACTCACCATTGCATGTGGAAAACCACTTATAAACTCACGAAAGCTGACTTGATTGCTCACGAGATTTCGTTGTCTTAAAATCTTTCGAACTGGTGCCATCGCTTTTCTTAATGCCCTATAAAAATATACAAATTTAGTTGAAACTCTTTGAAAACTTCGCAATAAAACTCACCTCTATGCGAAAGCCCAATGTGGCCGTGCTGGAATAGTCTCACGCCAGACCATATAGCGGGGCTTAGTTACACCCTTGGCCTTGTGCTCATCATCACTGGGAGCATTCGGATCAATTGTATCATTTTCTCATACATATCTTTGCGCAATTTGGGTTTCTCCTTGGCCTTCGACAATTCCTCCTCCAAATAGGTGCGTACGCCGATTTTACAATCCATAACACAGGGCTGATAGAAATCACTTAATAGATCTTGTAATTGGAGGTATACTAAAGCGAGAAGTTTTAATTAGTATTAATTCCGAGTTTTAGAATGTGTGAGAACAAAACTTACACTCTCCATCTTCACTGGTAACTTGACCCTTATATTCCGGGACATAGGGTCTTAAAACATCTTTCATTAGTATATGAAAACAATCCTCCTCCTTGGGACATAATTTCTTCAACACTGTACCCTGTTCGGGTCCTGCCTTGAAATTTCCCTGATGTCCGGCCAATTGAACCCAGGGATAGCGCTGCTTTTTGTATGTTTGAAAGAAGGGAGTCCATTGTACTATATTGCGTATCTTACGCCAACCAGAGGGCTGCAAAGAAAAACAATGTGGGAAAGAAATGCATTTAGATTTTTTTCTGGTTTTGCTTTATTTTGAAATTATAGATTCAAAATGTGTTTTAGAATTGCTTTTCTAAGTTGCTGTTTTCTAAGTTAACAATAGATAAAAAGTAACTACTACAATAACAAAAATTATCAGCAAAAAAAGCTACAAAATCTTGTACACAAAGCATTGACGTCAATATAAATAATGTATATAGCGTAGATTGTCTTAAGATCTATTATTTTTTTACCAAAAAAATTACACAAAAGTAGAGAAAGATAATGAATGATCTTGTAGTAAAATGATCGTAGTAAAATTTACGCATTAACAATGAACTATAATAGACTATAGACTAGAATAACTATAGATTCGACTATAAAATCTAGTCTATAGTCTAGTTTATAGTCTAGTATATAGTCTAGTCTATAATCTAGTCTAGTCTATAGTCAAGTCTATAGTCTAGTCTATAGTCTAGTCTATAATCTAGTCCATAGTCTAGTCTATAGTCTAGTCTATAGTCTAGTCTATAGTCTAGTCTATAGTCTAGTCTATAGTCTAGTCTATAGTTTAGTCTATAGTCTAGTTTATAGTCTAGTCTATAGTCTAGTAAATAGTCTAGTATATAGTCTAGTCTATAGTCTAGTCTCGTCTATAGTCTAGTCTATAGTCTAGTCTATAGTCTAGTCTATAGTCTAGTCTATAGTCTAGTCTATAGTCTAGTCTATAGTTTAGTCTATAGTCTAGTCTATAGTCTAGTCTATAGTCTAGTCTATAGTCTAGTCTATAGTCTGGTCTATAGTCTAGTCTATAGTCTAGTCTATAGTCTAGTCTATAGTCTAGTCTATAGTCTAGTCTATAGTCTAGTCTATAGTCTATAGTCTAGTCTATAGTCTAGTCTATAGTCTAGTCTATAGTCTAGTCTATAGTCTAGTCTATAGTCCTAGTCTATAGTCTAGTCTATAGTCTAGTCTACAGTCTAGTCTATAGTCTAGTCTATAGTCTAGTCTATAGTCTAGTCTATATCTAGTCTATAGTCTAGTCTATAGTCTAGTCTATAGTCTAGTCTATAGTCTAGTCTATAGTCTAGTCTATAGTCTAGTCTATAGTCTAGTCTATAGTCTAGTCTATAGTCTAGTCTATAGTCTAGTCTATAGTCTAGTCTATAGTCTAGTCTATAGTCTAGTCTATAGTATAGTCTATAGTCTAGTCTATAGTCTAGTCTATAAACTACTCTATAGTCTAATCTATAGTCTAGTCTATAGTCTAGTCTATAGTCTAATCTATAGTCTAGTCTATAGTCTAATCTATAGTCTAGTCTAGTCTATAGTCTAGTCTATAGTCTAGTCTATAATCTAGTCTATAGTCTAATCTATAGTCTAGTCTATAGTCTAGTCTATAGTCTAGTCTATAGTCTAGTTTATAGTCTAGTCGATAGTCCTAGTCTATAGTCTAGTCTTTAGTCTAGCCTGTAGTCTAGTCGTTAGTCTAGTCCTGAAGTCTTGTCTATAGTCTAGTCTTTAATCTAGTCTATAGTCTAGTCTATAATCTAGTCTTATAGTCTAGTCTATAGTCTAGTCTATAGTCTAGTCTATAGTCTAGTCTATAGTCTATAGTCTAGTCTAAAGTCTAGTCTAAAGTCTAGTCTAAAGTCTAGTCTAAAGTCTAGTCTGTAGTCTAGTCTATAGTCTAGTCTATAGTCTAGTCTATAGTCTAGTCTATAGTCTAGTCTATAGTCTAGTCTATAGTCTAGTCTATAGTCTAGTCTATAGTCTAGTCTATAGTCTAGTCTATAGTCTAGTCTATAGTCAAGTCTATAGTCAAGTCTATAGTCTAGTCTATAGTCTAGTCTATAGTCTAGTCTATAGTCTAGTCTATAGTCTAGTCTATAGTCTAGTCTATAGTCTAGTCTATAGTCTAGTCTATAGTCTAGTCTATAGTCTAGTCTATAGTCTAGTCTATAGTCTAGTCTATAGTCTAGTCTATAGTCTAGTCTATAGTCTAGTCTATAGTCTAGTCTATAGTCTAATCTATAGTCTAGTCTATAGTCTAGTCTATAGTCTAGTCTATAGTCTAATCTATAGTCTAGTCTATAGTCTAATCTATAGTCTAGTCTAGTCTATAGTCTAGTCTATAGTCTAGTCTATAGTCTAATCTATAGTCTAGTCTATAGTCTAGTCTATAGTCTAGTCTATAGTCTAGTTTATAGTCTAGTCGATAGTCTATAGTCTAGTCTTTAGTCTAGCCTGTAGTCTAGTCGTTAGTCTAGTCTGAAGTCTTGTCTATAGTCTAGTCTTTAATCTAGTCTATAGTCTAGTCTATAATCTAGTCTATAGTCTAGTCTATAATCTAGTCTTATAGTCTAGTCTATAGTCTATAGTCTAGTCTATAGTCTAGTCTATAGTCTAGTCTATAGTCTAGTCTATAGTCTAGTCTATAGTCTAGTCTATAGTCTAGTCTATAGTCTAGTTTATAGTGTAGTCTATAGTCTAGTTTATAGTCTAGCCTATAGTCTAGCCTATAGTCTAGTCTATAGTCTAGTATATAGTCTAGTGTATAGTCTAGTCTATAGTCTAGTCTAAAGTCTTGTCTATAGTCTAGTCTGTAGTCTAGTCTATAGTCTAGTCTATGGTCTGGTCTATAGTCTAGTCTATAGTCCAGTCTATAGTCTAGTCTATAGTCTAGTCTGTAGTCTAGTCTATAGTCTAGTCTATAGTCTAGTCTGTAGTCTAGTCTATAGTCTAGTCTATAGTATAGTCTATATTATAATCTATAGTCAAGTCTATAGTCTAGCCTATAGTCAAGTCTATAGTCTAGTCTATAGTCTAGTCGATAGTCTAGTCTATAGTCTATTCTATAGTCTAGTCTATAGTCTAGTCTATAGTCTAGTCTATTGTCTAGTCTATAGTCTAGTCTATAGTCTAGTCTATAGTCTAGTCTATAGACTAGTCTATAGTCTAGTCTATAGTATAGTCTATAGTCTGTTCTATAGACTAGTCTATAGTCTACTCTACAGTCTAGTCTATAGTCTAGTATATTGTCTAGTTACCTATAGTCTAGTATATAGTATGGTCCATAATCTAGTCGATAGTCTAACCTATAGTCTATTCCATATATTAGTCTGTAGTCAAGACTATAGTCTAGTTTATAGTTTAGATTATCGTCAATTCTTTAGTCTGGTCTCTAGTCTATATTGTGGTCCAGTTTAAAGCCTAGTCGATAGAGAATTTTATGATAACTTTGATGGAATTTTTTGGCTCATTTTTAATTCTAATGAGTGTACCTTTAAAATTCCTTAGATAATTTTTCAAACAATGAAGAAAGACAGAGTTAAAGTATAGTTTTGTGCATAAATTGTAGTTTTTTTATCGAAAATAAATCCAAATTTTTCAAATATTTTTATTGTTTAATTCTAAGTGACGCTTTAAACACTCCTCTATTTTTCTATTCAATTACTAACACCAACAACATTTTGAGGCGAGAAACCTGGCCACACATACACAATTTTAAAAAATTGAAATAGTTTTTTTCTACAGCATGGAAAATATTTAAGAATTATATTTAAAATTCATTTTGGTGGCTGTTCAGACCCAGCAGGCCTGTTTAATACGATTTGTCTGCGATATTTAAAAGCTAAATTGCCCATAAAAATTAAGACCACCTTTGGCGTGTTTAGTTTTTTTTTTTTTTTCAGTTAGATTTGATCACAAATTATTTTATAGCTTTTAGCCAAAAGTGTTATTAGCGATTGTTAGAGCGTTCATAGAGCCTTATACAAAGTCAATTATTTGTGTTTGAAAACAATTAAAAGCAGCGAATAGTTTTTAACAGTTGTTAGAGAGGACGTGATTGGAATTGGAAAACACATTTTTTTTGAAAATTTGCTTGGTAATGATGATATGATGTGATAGTATAAATTGTTTAATTTGAAACGGTTAACCTAAAACTTTACTATGATAATGAAATTTTATAAGAAAATATTCAGTTCTACTTCAGTTCTAGTTCAGATCTAGTTCAGTTCTAGTTCAGTTCTAGTTCAGTTCTAGTTCAGTTCTAGTTCAATTCTAGTTCAGTTCTAGTTCAGTTCTAGTCATTCTAGTTCAGTTCTAGTTCAGTTCTAGGTTCAGTCTAGTTCAGTTCTAGTTCAGTTCTAGTTCAGTTCTAGTTTCAGTTCTAGTCAGTTCTAGTTCATTTCTAGTTCAGTTCTAGTTCAGTTCTAGGTTCAGTTTCTAGTTCAGTTCTAGTTCAGTTCTAGTTCAGTTCTAGTTCAGTTCTAGTTCAGTTCTAGTTCAGTTCTAGTTCAGTTCTAGTTCAGTTCTAGTTCAGTTCTAGTTCAGTTCTAGGTTCAGTTCTAGTTCGTTCTAGTTCAGTTCTAGTTCAGTTCTAGTTCAGTTCTAGTTTCAGTTCTAGTTCAGTTCTAGTTCAGTTCTCGTTCAGTTCTAGTTCAGTTCTAGTTCAGTTCTAGTTCAGTTCTAGTTCAGTTCTAGTTCAGTTCGTTCGTTCTAGTTCAGTTCTGTTCAGTTCTAGTTCAGTTTAGTTCAGTTCTAGTTCAGTTTCTAGTTCAGTTCTAGTTCAGTTCTAGTTCAGTTCTAGTTCAGTTCTAGTTCAGTTCTTTCAGTTCTAGTTCAGTTTCTAGTTCAGTTCTAGTTCTAGTCGTGTAGTTCAGTTCTAGTTCAGTTCTAGTTCAGTTCTAGTTCAGTTCTAGTTCAGTTCTAGTCAGTTCTAGTTCAGTTCTAGTTCAGTTCTAGTTCAGTTCTAGTTCAGTTCTAGTTCAGTTCTAGGTTCAGTTCTAGTTCAGTTCTAGCTCAGTTCTAGTTCAGTTCTAGCTCAGTCCTATTGTAGGGTATCACCGTTCATTTTTTTTCCACTTCTTTTCTAAATTTAAAACATCTTGTTTAAATTTGTTTTAACATGTATCAGCCTCAATTTTTTGATTTACACTTTTTTCCACTTCTTTTCTAAATTTAAAACATCTTGTTTAAATTTGTTTT